CCACGCGTGCAGCTGTTTTCGAAAACTGAGTTGAAGCGTGCACTGATGCATCGCGTCTCTTTTGCTAAAAAAACAGCGAAGTATTGACTAACCTTTCCAAGAGCACATAATCCGAAATCAATGAAATAGGGTCTCTTGTAGTCGCCATCTTTCAGAATAACATTGGAAGTGGTGAGATCGCCATGTATCAGATTACTAAAGTGCATTTTCCCAACGGCTTCACCAATAGTTTTTCCAAGTTCCAGGGTTTCTGCCTGAAAGAGCGACGGTCCAGTTGCGAAAAAGAAAACCTCTTGCTTTTATCCGTAACAGTGCACCCACCACAAACTGGGCTGATCCGTTCTCTTCCTGTCGTCGTGTTTCAATCCACGAGTTTGCCGTACAACCTTCTATTCGCTCCATTATTATTCTGTTATTATCGCTGTCTATGAAAAACACGGCGGGTGCTCCAATTCCTAACTGGAATTTAGAACTGTATATCGGGAGGTGAGAAATAGAGGGGCTCCTGCAGAAGCTTGGCTCATGATAGCAGCGGTTCACGATCCGTAAAATCTTTCTCATGGCCCTGGGGGAGGGGTAAGGAGCAAGATCATTCCGTCTCGAGTTGTACCACCGGTTTCGTTTCCTAATCCCGGTTTGCTAGATATTCAAATGTAAGAGACCTTACAATAAGGCTTGCAGCCATTCATCAGCAACGCTTCAGAGAAAAGAACAAGCTTTGTCGAAGTGAACTGTTCTCACCTCCTGTGCCCTGACAAGCCCTTTGAGCTCATTCCGCATCCTCGCCTTATTTAACCTTCGATCCAGCTCTGGGTGACGGTATTTTTTAACAAAGCTGTCAATGCGATCAATCTACAAGATATTGTCACGAGTTCTTGCAATTATCCACAACCCACCGCTCTTTCATGACTGCTGGTCTACCCAGATAAGTGCAGATGTAGACCCGAGCTTCTGCTCCTTGTCGCATTCCTTCTGTTTGAAGTTCATACTTGAAACCTGCTTCGAATTGGTCTTCCCAATCCATTATCTGAAAAGAATTCCTTTATCAGGCACAACAATAACAACATATGACAATAACGATTTCCGAAGAGCATCAACACAATCATAAGAGGTACGAACAGAAAAACAAGCGAAAATGGTCTCAACAGTGGGCTAGAAATTTGCAAATGGGAAGGCAAATGTTTGAGAATTCGATACACATGCAATTTAAAAACGTTCAGACAGCAGGAAACAAAGAAAAAGGTATAGGCAGCATCAAAATGCTAAGGACATTCTTGATTAATATAACCTATAGTGGCTGATTTTTCGGAGCTAGCTCTGAACTTCTTCTTCATCCGATTCACTCTCACTAGGAGGCAAATCAATGCCTCTACTCCTGCCTTCTTCAGCTTCTCTTTCTAATCGATTTGGATAGAGGCAGTTTGTTTCTGAATAACTTCCTCATGTGTACCACAACTCGCATAGCTGTCCAGCAGCTCACGATTTAAATCGATGAAATGTGGTCCCCATGTGAACTGTTTCATCAATTCCTCAGCGGCTCGAACGTGACCAATAATATAAAGACCTTGAAAAAAAACATTCAAAACATCTGGAACACCCGGTATGACAATGGTCGAAGCCGTACCTGCAGCCAAGGCCTCAGCGCATGTAAGGTGGCATGGGCGTCCATAATTCACAGAATTAGCTGCTACCAAGTACGGTAAAAGGCGATGTTCAGGGGCCTTCACCTGCAAATCATGCATGGGATACATGGGCGATACACATCAGAAATCCCCGCATCACACATATGTAGCGAGATAAAATACCTTATGTAGCGGTGTTCTTTCAACCTCCTTCCATGAGCAGTCAACCACTCCCAACCCGTACTGGTCGATGAAATCACGATCGGAAGGTGCTAATGTCGTCTTGCCCGTGGGGCTCAGGACTAGGCCAGGAAATCGACTGCCGAGGCGCACCTACAACAAACACGGCCATGCGACCTGATTTAGGCAGGTAAAGGACTAATCAATCAGTGCGCTTGCGGCAGCTTATCCTTCAGTCTTCGTGACTAAAGAGACCTGGCGATTTGGGGAACTCAGTGATTCGAGAGATTGCGCGACGAGGAAGGTATAGGTATCGATCTGGTGGTTGGGGACAACCGGCATTTTGGGCGACTCAGCGTTTCGAGCGATCGCGCGATCATGGAGTGCATGGATATCGACCGGCGCCGATCGATACTTATTCACTTCCTTGGCGAACAATCTCTCGAATCGCCGAGTCTCCTCACTGGCAAGTATGAACGCAGCCTAAGGAATAACCCAAACTCGAAACAAGAGAACCTTTTTGTAGTAGGAGAATCGGTTCTTAAACTGAAAAAGCTACGTCGCCAACAACCTCTTCTACAAGTATCAACACCCGGACTGTAATAGCTAGTAAATCTTGTACTCACTTCACTAATCAATCCAGCTCGCAACAACTTCCTCCCTGAACATCGCTTCGGATCACATTGATTGAAGTCATACATCGCCAATTTGCATGGCATCTCGTACTTCTGTTCAGACTCCGATGATGTCCCGTCGGATTTTTCGCCGCTTTGTGAATCCTCATCGTCACTCCGTGCCGATGGCTCAGCATCTCCAGCATCGACATGACGAGCTCGAGCAACTTGCCTCACCCCTATGTGACCGCCGTCCGCTCTTTCCCATGAAGGGTAGACATAAAAAGAGGTTTATAATCGTGTGTTGTCACCAATATCACAGAATGAGCAATAACATTCGTATCGAAGCAAACAAAGAGCGGAAGCTTAGCAGAAATGCAACGACCCTTCGAGGTGGCTCAATAACTTGACAGTTAAGTTTTCTTATGATCTCACCACACATTATCATGCGCATAGGCCGCAGACAGATCTCAAAGCGAGCCTTTTTGGGCCGAACTATACACTTTTCACTTTTCCAGGGCCAGCTACTCGGTATAAGACTTTGTCCTTAGAAGCGTAAGTTAAATTAGAAGGGACTGATCAATCCTGAAGATTTAGTTGACCTGCAGAATCATTAGGTAGTGGCCACCATCTGACAATAACCTGCCGTCAAATGTGCGACCCTTAAGGCCTAAAACATGACGCTAGATAGGGTCTTGGTTACCGCGGATGCTAGGGGTTTCAGGGGCCAACACCTCTCCACCAGCTGTGGAAGCTAAGAAGGGACTAGCGTAGGGCGGAGGAACAGGAGCGGCGCACACTAGACCAGCCTCCCCAACCAATACCCAGCATCCGCAGCGTACAAAAGCTGGAACCACTTTTCCAAATGCGCCACGCACTTTCAATCTTAGCTGACAAGCCCTCGAACCACTTAATCTAGCTTCAAAGGATGGAAAACTTAGGCAGCAGACGGGTGGGAATCGTTTACGATTTAACAACCTGACTGAACATGACAGCACCTGCTAAACTAACACCGCAAATAAGAGTATGTATCCGATCAGAGGACTCAACCATGTTCACACAAATTAGTCTGTCCGAGCATAAATGTTTTATAAGCGCATGTATAGAAGAAGCCCGCATATGTATAGACTACAACTGTTTCTGACTATCTCTCGGTCCGTCTAATTAAACGAACACACCGAGAGTAGCATAAATCTGGTAAAATATTACCAAGTGAACAACTGGAATTGAAGAGTATTTCAAAGGAAAGTTATGCAGAATAACATATACATATATGCATATCACAGACTGCACAGCACTTACACTTTTCGGACGTTAGACGAACTGAAAGGCAGTGGGAGCGAGTGCTGGAGGAAGGCGGCTGCTGCCACTGTCTTTGGTGGAAGGGCTGAGCGACCCCGTTCGGCTTCCTACTCAGCCCTTCCAGCAATGACGCTGGCGACCGCCTTTGCCATCGTAACGTTTGCCTTTAATAGAACTGAGTTCAACGAAAATGTCAAAGCATACAAAACTATAGAGCGAACAGTCAGTTTGCTATGCCGTTGAAAGAAATAAATCGCGATAATACAAAGACAGGAACTGGGATTCATACTGACAAAGCAAATCGACAAGAATAGTTCACCTCGTAGGAAATGATTGTTGCTTTCGAAAGGATACAATAACTAAGCGATTATGATACAACAACGATGTTTCAACGTATTTACAGAAAAAAATGAGAAAGAACGATGAAGCCTCAACAACGACTGAAATCCCACAACTTCACCGTCTTGTCGTACGAACCAGATACAATCTGTCTATCGCTGAACTGAACACAGGTCACGCCATCTTCGTGACTATGCAGCGTGCAAAGGCGTTGGAGGGAGTCCACATTCCAAACCTATACTATAAGCATTAGAAGACCAGAAACTTCAGGATACTGGAAAAACTTTCAGACTTCCAAAAACTACGCAAGCTAAAAAAGGTAACGCTTGAGGGATTATAAGTTCAAAGACCTTTGCTACGCGAAACTCGAGCGCGACAGGAAAACTAAGCCGCACTCCAACGACGCATTGGATAGAATGACTTCGTCTTCGAATGGATGTAAGAATGCGTTCATACACTTGCATTAGCGCTTTAAGCGCACAGCAGCACACGCTC